AGTGTGGAAAATAATTTGTCTCATTCAAAAAGACTCTGAGATATTTTTGAACTCTATTGAGACAGGAAAGTGAGGACTGGGCAGCTCCCGACCAAGTATGACAACAGTACCCCATTTTTGGATATCTAATTTATCAATTATATACAACCATTCTTTCAGATCAATGATTTTAAAAAAAAAAAAAAAAAAAAAGAAAAAAAAAAAAGAAGCTTTGAGTGAATGAAGCCTATAGGTCTCAGCAAGGACTATCCTACTTCAAATCTCATAGACTGGCATTATGGAATCACAAAGAACTATATCAAATAACTGAAATCACATCACTTGAGGACATTCAACAACAGCAACAAAATGGATAGCACCTCTAACTTGAAGAGAAAATACAGTGATCCCTCATTTATCGCAGTAGATTGGTTCCGAGACCGGCCACGATAACTGAATTTCCGCGAAGTAGGGACACCATATTTTCAGTATTTATTTAACGTGTATTTGGACTTTTAAAACCCTCCCTGTACTGTTAACAACCCACCAACTACAGTACTCTATTAATAACAAGGACAACTGTTAAGCAATAACACTTTAGATTAAAAAAAAATAAAGATTGTTACTGTCGTCAACACGATAGAAGTTGAAGTAGAATTTGAATGATGATGATGATGATGAATTTGCTACGCAGTAGAAATAATGATGATGAAGCTGATGATGACTTCTACTGTGCAGCTGATAATTGTATTTTACGTCTCTTCAGATGGTGCCCTTTCTATTGCTATTTTACGCTTGTTTTGTTGTTCCTAGACCAGGAAATAATATTTATTATTAATATTTTAATGGGGTTTAATGAAAAATTTAGGGTGTTCATATATCGTGATTTTTCTAGAATTTTTCAGAAACTCTGCATTATATTTTCCATATATATATATATATATATATAGATACACCTAGTGAGCCAGACAAACCTACTAGGTTTCACCTAAACGGGTTCGTCAGGGAAAGTTTGGTTAACGAGGCAAGGAGAAACACACATATTTATAGGTGATAGCTAAAATCATACCATTGACAAAAAATAAAAAAAAAAAACAAAAACAACCTAAGTGGGGGGAATATTTATTCAACAAAAAAAAAAAAAAAAACCTCAGTGGAAAGTCAATAACGGGAAAACGTCTAATTTTTCTTTTGGGCTTCAGACCTGCATCTGTCGATTTTTTTTGTCGGGCAGAAGTCCATGTTTGTAGCTCTTTCTTTTTTTTAAAACCTTTTTTTCCCTCGAGATTGATTTGATTAGCAAATCAAAAATTCGAGGTTTTCAAAATGAGTCTAGTTATCTATATTTATATGTATATATATATATATATATATATATATATATATATATATTTTGAAAATCCATTAAGTTGTGAATCCGCGATAGTAGAACCGCGAATTAGCGAGGGATCACTGTAATGACATTGTGGTGGATAGTAGGTTATAACTTGGGGGATTATTAGGTTATCTTCTGACAACATCCATTACCTCCATATATAAGGTATAATTGATTTGGGCATATTTTGGTCTTGGATAATGATTAAAGGAAAATACACAGAGTGTCAATATATAGAGAATAAATCTTTATATATCACAACATAATAGTACAGAAGGATATGGTGAAAGTTGAAGTTTCAGAAGTCCAAATGTAAAAACTCCTGGTGCATATAAAAGATAGAGAAAATGTTTGAGAGGTGGGGGGAGTAAATACATGTATGTATATATGTATCAAAATATAGTAGCCACCACTTGACCACATAGTGATGGAATGTATGTTTGTTTTCAATTGTAACAAGATGGTATAGCTGTCGCCAGTCAGTTGTGAAAATATTGTACTTTGTCTCAGTTACAATGACCATGGCATTGGAGAATGGACAAAATTAATTTATTGACTGATTTTGGTTGATTTTCCACCTGTTTATATACACATCTATAAATCTAACTTGAAAAGGATGCTCACTTCTCATTGCTTCGCAGCCTTATATCCCAGTTGTGAAAGCTTTCTGATTGGTTGGTTGAACTATGACATTATTTGCCTGGTGATTTTTATTATCCATCTATTTTTAGGGATGGGGAAATTTTGGTCTTGTTATTTATTTATTTCCCTGTCACCACAACATAGTGAAAGTATTGACATTTCACAAATCTTCGAACAAAAATGTTAGAAAGAAAGCTCCTTTCCAATACTGGAAAGAACAATAACAGTGAACTTGAACTTATTTTTCTGAAAAATTGTTTTGATAGAAAGATTTTATAAATTTTAACTGAAAGAATCACTGGCTGTAAAACCAATGAATGCCAAATATTTCCTTATGAGGAAAAGGCTAACATTGTTTAAACTGAACTGTTCTATGAAAAATCCATCTGGAAGTGTTTTTTTTTTTTTTAAATGCTGGATTTGTCAACCTTTCATCTATAGTCTGCTCATTATTTCAGTTAATAACATTTTTATTAATGATTTCATTAATCATTTTAAATAGATCACCTTCAAAAAATTATTCACAGTCTCTTTGCTTGCATCTAAACACTTAAAAACCTACTGGCTTGCCTATTAATATAATCAATTTTAAGTACTTACAAAATATCTTAATTGTAGAATCATATCAGAGTTCTCCAAATGTTGACAGGCTTTTTTTTTATTCTCTCTTCATCTTATAAGAGTGATATTGAAGTTTTATAAGTAATAAACTCCTTGTGATAACATCAACATTTAGTAACTTAGTCAAAAACTGGTAAAATACTAAATTCTATTCTAACAAAATACAACCAAATCTACAAGTAATATAGTATAATGCCTTTTCTATAAATACTTTCATGGTAATTGTTCTGATTTATTTTCTTCTATGCTAGCTAAGTTTAAGGTAAGACAGATTGAAGACCAGCCTTCCCCTATCTCTTTTGGCTTTGTGCCACATTTTTGTATTACACAAAATAAATATTACTTTCCTCTATGGAACCTAGACTTTGAGAATTTAAGAGCAGTACTAGATTGGCAACAAGGTCTTATCATTTTACAGTTGAATTGTCTAAGTGTAGCTGTAAGTTCTATGCTAACAGTTTCCTTTTCTTGCAGTTGTTTGTGAAACTCTTGTCCTTCATCTTGTTTTCCAGACAACTTTGACTTTCAAAAATTATTGTCACTCCTTAATATTTTTCTTTTACAATCAGTAAGTCCTTGTGTCTTAGTGGTTTTATTGTCATGTTTGGGGTGAAATAATTTAAAAAAAAAAAAAAAAATTGGTAATGACGTGTGCTGATAATAAAAAAATTAACATTGTATTAATCATTGTTTGGAAATTCCTTTATTCTTCTTTATTTTTTCTTCTTTATTTTCTCTTCTGTTTTTTATAAATTATTTTTTATTCTTGATTTTTTTTATTCTTTTTTTATTTTTTAAAAAATTACACTTAATATTTCAGGTCATTTATGAAAGCAAGGATATTTTCAAAAGTAATATGGATTATCCTACAATTAATGAACAATGGCTATGATAAAATTACACAGAAATTGTTACAAAATGTATAGAGTTACAAAAGAAAAACTTGCATAAATTTATAGTAAAAAATGTATGCTTAATGAAGAATAAATTCTCTTTTGATTCATTAAGAGTTTTTTTAAGTTACATTTTTATTTTATTTCATCTGCTGGCAATGATGGTTCAAATTGAGAGTGATTTTTTTTTTCTTCTTTCTCCTCTTCATTTCCTTATGGATACTATTTTCTCATAAATTAAGTGAAGCCAGGTTATTTGAGGAACAGAAAGAAAAAAATCCAATTTAGTTTCAAATTAACATTTTTATTGATTTTTCTTGGTTTATTCCCCTAACAATAAAATAAAAGAATTTCCACCTTTTATTCCCCTTGAAGTCATGACTAAATTCAAGCAAACCCCCTTATCCATCCTCTTGTGCTGATAAAACACATTTAGGAAAACTTAACAAAACACAGTAGCACTATAATTTGCAAATTTATGCTGTTTATGCATTATGAACTTGGTAAAATTAGACTGACTGATAAAAATTTAAATTAAAAAAATTGAGTGGGCGGGGGAATAAGAAAAGACTGTGAGTCTTTAATCTCATGTTTGTAATTACTGTGTTCAACTTGCAATTATTTCATAAGAGGATACAAATGTAACATTGAGAGACTGTCACTGTTCTTGACAAATATATAATACTTTAACAGTTTATCATAAAAATAAGATGCTAAGGTATTTGTCATAGATATCTGCTGGATTAAACAAATTCTGGCACAAGGCCATGTTCATGAAGTACACATAATGGGTTAATTCACTAACAATAGTTTGCAATAATAATGGTTTATTACTTTATGTACATGTAGCGTAGTGATTATCAGCATGCCAAGTTCAAATTCCAACCAAGTTATGTGTTTAATAATGAAAATTTTATTATTAACATCATGATAAAAAGAATTCAGTTTTGTTTAAGTAGTTGTCACTTTTTCCTGTGCCTAGCTTTAAAATTATTAAAATGGGGGGGGGGGCTTAAAAAAATCTGCCTCATCAGTCATGTATCGAAAGGTACATGATTGCCTAAGCATGTATCATGCATGGCACATAACTGTCTGACATTATATAGTTAAACAGAAAAATGGGGTGGTATGCTGGTGGACTAATTTATCAGCTGGGATCTGAAGAAAGAAAACTTCATAAAGTAGATCAAGGTAAGAAGTTCAATCTAGCCTAGAAATTCATCCATTACCTTAAATTGCTAGATCCATAATACACTGCCATTTTGCCTATTGCTACACTTGTAAATAAAATAGTCCCAATTTATTTTTTAAAATCAATTTTCTTTTTTTAAATTTTTGCATTTTTTTTTTTTTAAGATTTTCAGAGAATTTTTCTCTTCAACTTATTTTGAAACAGAAATATGTTGATAATTTCACAATGTGTACAGGTTTGTGATATTCCAATCTTTAACAAAATACATACAATTTTTTTTTTATCTTTTGCATTTTAGAACTACAGTGGCTGTTCCTGCATTTTAGATGACCATTTAACTAGTTCAGAAGTTGTTGTGCTGCCCCTAGCAACCAGTGGTACCTGCAAAACAACATGCAAAAACTTGCTTCCTTTTCTTATTCTTCTGGTTGTGATGACATTCTGTGTGGCTGGCACCCAAATGCCTTTACTTATGGTGACACTCAGGTAATTAATTAAAAGTTTCTTTTGCTCATTGGAATTTTGCAATACCCAAACAAGATCTGTCTAATGCTGTGAGAATATTGATTAGGTGAGATTTGATTGTAGCATAATTGACATGCACAGGATACAAAACACAATTTCTGTCCAGAAAGCAAACAGGATTTTTGAATATCTTGAGAGTCAATTATACAAAAATTCCAAGAAGAGCTTATTGGTGCATGCATGAACAGATGCTCTCCTGTGGGATTACTCAGTTAACAGAGAAATGCTATTGGGTGAGCTTATGTACTATGTGTCTTTAACATTTGTAATATTTTATTCTAGCCATTTCTAATTTCTAATATTAACTAGAGCTGCCAGGCTCATTACAGTCCAGATTTAGTTCACTGTAATTCCCAGATTTTTCTCAAAGCTAAAATCACTGTTAAAATGTGGATGAGATTAAAGAGAGTGCAATGAGGCAGCTAATGACAATTCTAAATGAGAGCATTTTAGACTTTTGACAAGTGGAAGACACATGGCTGTTTAAGGTCTAAAGAAAATTACTTTGAAGCAGACTACAGTGATATTACTTTGAAGCAACATTACATTAGTTAGGCTATATTTTTAATGGCCAGGTCATTTCAGAATACAGAAAACTGGTGCACATAGTGTGACACAAAGTCTCCAACTGATACTCCACAAGGTTTAAATTCAGAGATTTTTTTTTCATCTAGAATTGTTGCCAACCAAGACTATAGGGCTCAGTCTATCTTGCAATTTTAGACATACCTGAAGGGTGAAGAGATGGATTCATAAGTAAACATAACAAACTCGACTAGAATTGAAACTCATTTTTCCAGTTTCTCATTCCGAGCTGCTATCATTGCTATATATATATATATATATATATATATATATATATATATATTCTGTTACGCCGGGGTTTTCGTTGGGACTATGATAGCCGGGAACGCAACGAAAAATAAAAAAATAAGTAAGAGATCCCAAGGTTCGATATAAAAATAAAGAAAAGAACGTTGGGAGGAATTCTCCAATTCGGACGTCGGTAAACACAGAGAAAATGAACAATTCGCAGACACAGAACAACAGAAGACAACACGAGAATATATAATACAAAGTTTTTATTTCTAGAATACACGGAGTGTGAATATAAGAAAAAGAAAACTAAATAATACAAGGGATGGGGAGATAAGTTAGCAATTATTAAACAGATACTAATGCGGTGAAATTCATATGAATACAGAAATAGCAGACTATAACATATGGCAAAACATGCAGAAACTTACATGAGGTTGGAATCGACGTCGATTGACAACTATCGGGGTACAATTTGTTCAAAGGATATTTATACACTTCTTTGAAAGTAACGGATGGGATTGACAATGTTCTAACATGAATTCTTGACTGGCGACGTCAATCCGGGTTGATGGCGAGGAGAACACACAAGAAAAATCACGGGGAATGTGGCGACTTAGGTTGACGATGTTGATCTACAATCGCGTCGGTCCTTTGGTTTTTGGTGACATCTAATTCTTCTAATGGTGAGTATCTAAGACTGGTTTTTGGTGACGTCCGACTCCTCTGATAGCCAGCAACTATATGTGGTTGTTGTTACCTCAACACGTGCGAAACGAAAACTGCTATATTTTGAGTCACGTTTGAGCTGCATATGTTACATGAACACATTGAGATTTGATTTTTTTTTTATATAAACAGCTAATATCTGTGGTAACTGAGTTAGAAGTTACCTTGCAGGTGAACAATTTGAATCTTAGAAAAGCAAAAAAAAAAAAAAGTTGTTAAAAATTTCCTAAATGTAGATAATGCAAATATTAAGTTGTTGGCTTAAAATTACCTGGATTTCTCCTTTTATTATCCATAATTATTTTTCCTCCTGAATTTTTTCTTAGGTTTATTTTAAAAAGTTAAGCAAATTTTGAGGTAATTTTTTTTTTTTTTTTTAATTCACATTGTAAATACAGAAATGGTTTTAATACTTCTGTGACTCCTTTCAACTATACCCTTCCCAGTCGGTGCATAAACACATTAGAATCAAAGCTGCATGCCCCAGTCAATGAGGAATTTTCTGAAGTGCCCACTTATCTCTTTCATTGTCAGTTAAGATTTCAGTTGATGTCCACTCAAAAAAGATTGATGTTAATTGGTTAGTGACACTGGTGGAGTCTTGTTGATGAAGCAGTCACCATATTACAAATCTAGATGAACAACAATCAATAAGGGTTAGGAAGCGTTCACTGCCATAGTGTGTGATATCCATTGCTAACCTGCTCCAGTTGTTTTTCATTCCCAACTTTTCTTGGTGCCAGGTCAATTGATTGGCAAGCTTCACAATTCTTGATGACTGACTTTACAATTGTTGTTGATACTGAAGGGTTGACAGACTTGGCAAAATACAGTGACCTCTTCATACCCAGGTGCCCACTTTGTTGGAGGATATTAGCTACCTGACTCTCACTCAACTTTCTTACTGTGGCACTCTCTAGTTGTACAGGTTTGGTTCCTTCTTTGTGTACCTCCAACCACTTCTGGGGCACTCTGGTGAGGCAGTCTGCTCAATTTAGCGCAGATTTGACCAGTTTCACATCCATTGTCAATGCGTAATCATCAACCAGTGCACAGAGTATTTCCAACCACCATCTTATCAACATCTCACTAGCTGGCTGCCCTCATTTTTACACATGCCTTCCTAATCAAAATGTCCGATATCAAGCGATGATAAGCATGCAGAATTGGTAACCAGGTGCATTGGCACCAGACTGATGCCTTTCATCATTGCATAGAGTTCTGCTAAATTAATGCTTAGCATCTCGTCAGATTCAACCAACAAGCATCTTTAGAAATACCTCCATTCACTTCCAATGCCATGGCTAAACAACAGGCATCCATCCATACCTTCATTTTGTGGCCACTCACACACCAGTACCCACTAACAGAATCCATTTCATGTACCCTGGTTACTGTCTCAGTTAGCATGTCTCATTCTATCCTTTGGACACTGCTCTTGCTTGCTGCTTGATATAGGCAGTTGCTATTCTTAGCCAACTACACACGGGAAAGTGTCCCACAAGTCGTCCACACAGAGAAAACCTGCTTTGGTGAATAATTACTTCAGGAAGGTCTGGGACTTTACTTCCTCACTCCCATCAGATAGTACCATTCTTCACCAGACATGCAGGTCCAATACTTTGGATCCATCTTTCAGTCTCTCTGGGTCTTTGCAACCAAGTCCATAATTGAATAGATGGTGTCTCACTTGTGCAATAGAAATCAAAGCTTCATTGCCAAATATATTGGTCAAACACATTGAAAGATTCCATTGTGTACATGGTGATGAGGGCTTGCTTTACCTGCTCTGCATCTTACTTAGTTGTCAGTATATGGGAGAGCCTCACTTCTCAATCGTAGTGGCAGGACACGCTCAATCCTCTTCATATCACACAGATCACATACCAACTCGACATTCTCAATCCACTTCATGATTGGGAAATTGGTGGCAACGCCACTAAATTCAGGGATCAATCTGATATCAATTGATTGTGGACATTGTTTGCAAGGAAACAAAATAGCTTAAAGCTTTTTTTGCTATATAAACCAAATGTTTCTCCATTAATCACAGTTATACAGTCAAAATTTCAGATCAAAATTCAGTTTATAACTGTGCTAGGATATAGTCTTATTGATCCACACTCATATGCTTTTATTATTTACTCTGTCATTATAATCAAAGGATTGAATGAATGTATTGACATTTGTTCAATAAATCCTACCTGTGATATCATGGATAAGTTTAATCTCGTGATAAGTGAATGTCCCTAGCATTGCCAATTTGAGGTTCCCAAGCAAAGTAAGATATGTATCAGCTTTTCTTGCCATTTCAATCAGGAGTCATGACAATCTTATTGTTGGATAGTTGAAAGAAGACTAATATAATCTCTTGCCACTTATATTTGGCTGAGAGCCAAGGTATATAAATGGTCAGCAATTGAGTGACATGGCTTGATTTGATGAGTCAAGCTGAACTGGTGAGTGACAAATACATGTGTTATAACATAGTGGGTGGGTAGAGGAGAGAGAGATAGAGAGTGAAAAAAGATATAGAGTGAAGAGAGAAAGAATGAAAAGAGAGACAGAGAGAGTGAACAGACTGAGAAGGGGAAAAGATACAGACTGAGAGAAAGATATATATATATATATTTTACTCGAGATTCCTTTCTATTTTTTATGTTTATTTTCATCCCATTATTGTTTCCCAAACAATCTTTTTAAATCTTTATTCAAGAAACACAATGTGTAAAAACTGAAAATTAAACACTTGATTCGGCTTTGTCCAAAAATGACAGGAAAACAAACAAACGTTTATATATATATATATATATATATATATATATATATATATATGATAGATATGGTGGGGGTGTATGGAGGTGGAGTCACATAGAAACATATAGAAAGTTTTTTTTTTACATTTTCTCCCTTAATACTTTCATTCAACATCTTCCTCATTCAAAAGAAATACCATCCTTCTTTTCTCTCTCTCTTCAGATCCGTAGCAGAGGAAGAAAGAGCCTTTGCTCTTGGAATGCAGTTTGTCTTATTACGTCTTTTTGGTAAGTGAAAAACAATCCATTTACCCAAGAGGATCTGTTCCAGGTTTGGCAAGGTTTAATGTTTATAGCATTTTTCCAAATTTTAAATGAGATGTACATCAGTATCAAAATTATGGATAAAATTTCCAAAGTTCTTGTTTTGTTCAAATACTTTTGATTGTCATTATCAACAGCTTTTTTTTTTTTTTTTTTAAGCATGTCACCCCAAGCAAGCATGGGGTTACAGAGAGAGAGAAAGTAAGAGAATAGACTAGATATAGAGAGGATTGAGGAAAGGATAAAAGATAAACGGAGTTCAAGTAAACAGAAGATGGCAATTGACATTGCATTTAAATTTTTGAAGATTGTAGTTTCAGGGAAGCAAGTAAGAGGAAGGGAGTTTCACAGTCAGGAAGGGCAAGAAAAGCTGTTGGAGTAGAAGTGGTGGTTACATTTAACTATTTCAACAATAAAAGGGTGAAATGCCAATCTAGGAGCACACTAGGGAATAAAGCTAGTCAGAGCAGTTGCCATGAAAATATTTGTAGAAAAGACAGAGAGAAGCCACATCATGTCTGAGTAAGTGTCTGAAGTTGAGATGCCAGATCAGGATTGATTACATTGCAGATCCTTCCTTGGATTTTGTCGAGAACCTTAAGATGAACAGCAGGGGTACCAGACCAGATATGGCAATGGTATTCAATGCACAGACGAATGGTAGATTTGTAGATGTTTAAGATGGACTCTGACAAGAAAAACCTTCTGGCATGATACATAGAACCAACTTTCCAGCTTATTCAAAAATTGGAAAAAATGCAATAAAAAATTAAACAGAGACCTTGTCAGATAAATTTAACAAACTTGTTTGGAGATATATATTATGTACACAAAGCAGTTTTGATAAAGAGTTTTTGACTAGACCAAGAAGCCTGAAAAAAAAAAAAATAAAAATAAATAATATCTGATATATGGTTATATCTTCAAAGTGATTTTGCACTCCCAATTTTTCATAAATATCTCTGTGTGTGTGTGTTTATATATAACCCATAAATGATCCCAAACATTATGACAAATGGCATGTAACAAGAATAACAGTTTCTGTCTCAAAATCTGCATGAGATTTAAAAGGTATGTACCATATAGTACAAGTTTTAATCATAAGATTTTCTTTTTGTGCAAAAAATAGTTGTCCACACTATACACAGGTAAATATTTTGAACAGGTTAAAAGTCATGCATCTTCAGTGAGCAGTTGCACTATATACAGGTCAATTTTTTCTGGAGGGGTTAAAATTCATACAAAAAATTCAAGGTTCACACTATAAATAAAGTTGGCTTATACACAAGTATATACATTAAGTTGACTTTATTTCATCTTATATTGAATACTGCAGCTATGAGCAAGAACAAAGATTTGAGTAACTTTGATAAAGCAGAAATTATTATTATTATTATTATTATTGCCAGTACATTTATGAAATGGTATGATTTGTAGAATTGTCATCTGTAACTACTGTCAACACAACATATTGAACCAATTTATTGATATAAGGGAACAGAGTATTTCTCCCCAAGTACAAACCAGCAGGAGGGCTATTGTGGTACAAGGTTTTTCTCAATAAAGCTACAAATTTGGTAAAATATAAATAACAATGTTTCCTCCCCCCACTGGCATTACAGAATCACAAAGAAATGTACCAGATAACAAAAACCACACAACTTGAGGACTTTCAACAGCAGTAACAACTAAAATGGGTAGCACATGTAACTTGAAGAGAGAATAATATAATAATCAATATGCTGATGTTCCACACTACCCCAAACAAAAGGCAAGGAAGGAAATCTCCGTCAATACTGAAAAGAGCAATAACAGTGGACTTGAGAAATTTATTTTCCTAAAAAAGTATTTTAAGAGAAAGATTTTATAAATTTCAACAGACTGCTTAGTCATTGAATACTGAATATTTCCTTATAAGGAAATGGCTAATATTACCATTAACATTTACAAGCCACATAAACTCAAGGATATTAAAACTGAAAGAAAATAACAATAAAATAAAATTCCAAAGAATATTTTCCTGTTAATAATTATCAGCAATGCTGAATTTGGCAATTTAATGTCTCTTTGGTCAGTCTAGTATTTGTATGGTCCGTGTTGGATCAAAGTGTGGCTTCCTAATAAGAAAAGTATAAGATCTATGCAATCTGTAAAAAAAATGATACACACATACAACATTATATATAATAACTCCCCCCACCACACACAAAGGGGTACTGAGAGAATTTTTAAAAAAATTCTGAGGTTTGGTCATTTGCTGCAATATTGGTTGGTAGTTTTTTGTTTAGCAGCATATCAACCTCTATGGGTTATTTAATGCCAAAATCTAAATATTTTTGTATGCAATTTTTTTTATTTTGAGATAATGATTTTTACTGATACAAGTTTTACTAATTAACCCATAGCTGGAAGAAGCAGTGGATTCATACTTTTCCCAAGGGTATTTTAAGGAACTCAACTGGAATTAGAAACTTGGTTCACCAGTTAACAATTTCAAGCCATTAGCCATTATACCACCCACACATCCAAGCTTGCAACATTTGCTATTCCCAAGCAATCACCCATCTAGGTACCGACCAGGCTCAAGATTGCTTAACTTTGGTGATTGTATGGGAACTGGTGTTCCAACATGGTGTGGCAATCAGCAGGCCAAGAACATTTCAGCACCCCCTCATATATAGTCAACTGCCAATCTGTTCATTTCCATATGATAATGAAACTGGGGAAAAGTGGGAGAGGAAGAAGGAAAGAAAGATGTTGAAGAGGAAAGGTAGAAAAAAAAAAGGAAAAGAAAAGTGAAAGAAAAAGAAGACAATGAGGAGACAAAAGAAATATATAGACAGGATTGCTGTTTTCAGTTTTATTACTCCTTTGATCTCTTAAAGTAGATAATGGTTAATTTGTATTTTCTTTTGGTATGTGATGCAGTAATATTAATCCATTAATGCCCAACCACCTGTTAATTTCAAAGGGACAGATTGACTCATAGTGTTGATAATGAACAAGACAGGATATAATTTGGGAGAGAAAATATATACACATGTGCTTCACACAACCTTATTTACCAAAACAAAATGTACAAAAAGGAATCAAATTGCTCGCCAATTTTGGTAGTTACAAACTAAACAGGTCATGTGACATGCTGCATGTAGTGATATCAAGTAATGCAGAGATAAGAGTGTACAGCCGCCTCACTACATGAGAAAAAAACTCAACTGGAGTTGGTGCCCTCAAATCAAAAACTTTATTTAAATCAACAGGGTTTGCTTACTTCTCTTGTCAAACAAAATCTGATATTTTATTAAGTATGCAAAAAAATAATTTTTTTTTTTAACAATTTTCACATTTAAAACTTTTTTTATATTTTCACAATATAAAGTTTGTTGCCACACATTTTCTTTATTACACAGTGTCAAATAGTTTTCAAAATATTTATTTTTTTAACACAAGAATTCAGTTCAAAATCCCATCAATAGATGTCTAAATTTTTCATTTTTTTTTAGATCTGTTCATTGGTTTCATGAATATATCAGCTATATTTTCTTCATTAGCTATGTGAAATAATCTTAGTTTCATTCTGTAATTTGTTTCTTATGAATGAATGGAATCTTATATCTATGTTCGATCTGTGATGGTGTATGGGATTTTTCACTAAAACTATGGAACTTTGACTGTCACAATATAGTGTAAATGTATTTATTTATTTAGCATATCATTCATAAGAGATTTTAGATATTTTCCCTCCTGTGTTACTGCACTAATAGACATATATTCTGCCTCACACGTGGATACAGCAACTGTAGACTGTTTTTATGTTTTCCATAAAATTAGTAGACCTTCATCAGAGATCTTAAAACCGTATAGAGTTATACTCTTTCTATTTTGTGATTTTGCTCAATCTGTGTCGGTTTAGAGTGCTTTTTGTGGGTTTAAATACTAAGTGTTGGTCTATTGTGTCTCTTATATATTTTAAGACATTTCGGTAACATCATATGCTCCATGTATGGTTTACTCATAAATTGTGACAATTTTGTTACTATAAAACATATATCTGGCCCAGTTGCAGTTATTGCATATATAGGCTTTCAGCAATTTCCCTATACAATTTTTTGTCAGTTAATTCACTTAGTAATAATAACAAGATATATATTGAACTGTCAGGGGTATATTTAGGTTTGCAATCTTGCATTCCAAATCTTTCCAGTAACCTTTGGAGATAGCGCTTTTGGTTCTTTTGTCTTCATAGGTAAATTCTATGCCTAAAAATTTTTTAATTTTACCTTGGTCCTTTATTTTAAATTTTTATTTGAGCATATTTTTAGTATTTACCATATTTTCATTATATTTTTTTCACTATTAAGATATTATCCACCTATACAATGATAATTGTATATTTGTCTTTCTACTTAGTATATACATAAACGCCTGATAGTGATTTACAAAAACCTTGTCTAATTAAATATCTATGTAATAAGTTATTCTAGTTTCAGCCACTTTGTTTCAAGCCATATAAAGATTTCTTTAACTTATAAACTAATCTTTCTTCACTATTTTTATTTACTATCTCAAAACCTTTTGCTTGCTCATAATTAATTGGTGTGTTGAGATTGGTTGACTTAACATCTATTTGATGTACTATCAAGTTATGCTGTGTTGCAATTTGCATTAACACTTTTATTGAGGTCATCTTTGCTGTTGGTGAAAATGTTTCTTGATAGTCAATGTATGGTCTCTGAGAACAGCCTTTTGCTACTAACCTAGCTTTATAAATTCTTTTTGGTTTTGGTCTGTTTTAATAGCATATACCCATCGTGCAGGTATTACAGTTTTATTTGGAGGTAACTGTTAATTTAAATGTTTCATTTTCTTTTAAAATATCCATTTCCTCTTTCATTGCTACCTTCCATTTTACAGTGTGTTCAACTGTCACCTTGTATGATCTTGATACGACCTTAATGAGATAGCAGTAATCTATCGTTTAATTCAACTTATCGTTAAGATAATAATCATTTAAATGTTTTAGATGTCTTAATTCTTTCACTATTTTCAATTACTTCTATTTGCTCTTTAGGTAATTGTATATTAATCTCATCCTTTTTAAGCACAGTATCATCATCCAATTCTTGTATGATTAACAGGTCTGAATATTCTTCACAAAATTTGTCAATGAATTTTATTGTCCTGATGCTTCTTCTTTTTCAGGAAAATATGCCAAATAAGCAAGACTACTTATATGGTATCCTACAAATATTCCCTTCTCACTTTGATCATCTAATTTCTTAGGATTTTTTAGACACACATAGTAAATGCTCCCATGTTGGAAATGTTTGGTTTAATACCAGTAAAAATTTCATACAGTGTAATTTTAATATGATTATCATAACACCTGTTACAAATATATGTCAAAGACATTACTGCATATGACCACATATATTTAGAAAGTTTAGCTCGTTTTAATATGCATCTGGCCATTTCAAAAATTACGTACCATACTCTTTCAGTCATGTCATTTTGATGTGGTAAATAGGGTGACGACTATTGGTGGCTAATTTTATTTTTAATTAATAATGACTCAGAAGTGTTAGAAGTGATCAAGGAGCTGAATTCACTTCCAACATATTTTACATTACCATAAAGGTGCAATATCAGCTATAAATTTTTTCAAAAGCTTTTACCACATCATTTTTATTTTTTAACATAAGTCACTATTAGACCAGAATAAACATCTATGTATCCCAATACATATTTACATTTGTCTTTTGCTACAGGATCTATCAGCGCTAAAAGATCAAAATGAACAAGTTCTAATATCTTATTTGCATGTTTGTCAGGTATTTTATTTTATGATTGAGACATCTTTGCCTGTGGGCAAATTTCACAATTTATTTTTATCAGTAATTTGCATGCGTTGACCATTTTCTTCTAATTTTAAGATATTGTTAACGTGACAATGTCCCATTATATTATGCCAATCTTCCACTGAATGCTTAACTTTCTTTGGAGAAATTACATTACTTAAATAATACAGGTTTCCTTTCTTATTGGTTTTAAATTTCATTCCTTTTGCATTAAGTATTAGTGAGTTAGATTTAAATTCTACATTAGCACCGTTTTCTGTCACCACCTGCACAGAGAAAATATTATTAAAAGAAGGAATATACAATACATCTTTTAGAATGTTTCTATGGACCTTCCCATTTGTATCAGTCATTTCAATACAAGCATCACCCCCTTTTGAGTGCCAAATTATTATATCTACTATCACTGCTAATTCTACAATATGGCAGGAAGAATCAAAACTTATCAAAATTAATAAACTTAGATTCATCATTCAAAATTTAGTTTGTAGCCCCACAATCCACTAACAGCAGAAAAAATATAAGAATTGTGCTTATCTGATATGTTTTTTTACCAGATCCCTCTTAGTGTGTATATGTTCGTCCTTTGACCTTCTGCAAAATTTTGTGTCATGTGATGTAGTTTTACAATTTACAACTATTGTGTGTGCTTTTTACAATTTTCAGAATGGTGTTCATATTTTCTGCAAGAAAAACATGATCCATTAAATTTGGTTTTGTTGAAATCTTTTGGTATGGATATTGTTCTTGGCTGACTGCTGCATTTTATTTCTTTCACGTTCATTACTGCATTGGGAATGTTGCCTTGGGTTTCCTCTGTCTCTTCAAAATTTCTTAAGGCCGTTTTGAAATTTTGAAACATCATCTATGCATTATTACTGTGGTAAATATTTTATATTCACTCAGTAGACCTTTTATTGTCATAGCTATAAGCAAACCATCATTTACTGTTTCTCCAGCAGTCTTTAAAAATGTAGCGGTGTTCTCAGCTCATATCACAGTCTGTAATGGTCTTGTCTGGTCTTTTCTGTAACAAAGAATATAAGGCAATAACTTTTGCCTTTCTACATGGCAGGTAATGTTCCCTTAAAATTTTTTGAGCCTTTCTGCCGTCATTATTTGTATCTCGGATGATTAGTGATAGACTTCTATCATCAAGGTACTATACCAATTCTCCAAATGCCTCGGCTTTTTTGTTGTGGTTTATTTTATCATCAGTCCCTGTGGTGATGATATTGTACAGTTTTTGAGTTCTCATATAGGCAAAGAATTTCACCTCACGCAACTTGTATTTTCTTTCGTCTCCTTGAAACATTAATCTATGAGTCATATAATTAATCTGTCCACTATTTCAGTTGCGTATCAGGGCTCATAACCTGTTAATTTCAAAGGGGCAGATTGACTCCGTGTTAATAACGAACAAGACAGAATATAATTTGGGAGAGAAAATATATACATGCATGCTTCACATGACTTTATTTGCTGAAATTTACAAAAAAGGAATCAAATTGTGCACCAATTCTGGCAGTTACAAACAGGTCACATGACATGGTACTGCATAGTGATATCAAGTATTGCAGAGATAGGATGTACAACCATCTCACTACATGGGCAAAGAACTACTTCAGTTGATACATTTAACACCACAACACCATTTTTATAAACAGTGGACATTAATGGTTATAGGTAGAAGCCTATAAGTATTAGCTGATTTTTTTTTTTAAGAAATCTATAATTAGCAGTAAATTTTTTACTTTGGGTTCCATAATTAATATCAGCTTTTATGATGGGTATTAATAGTTTAATAAGGAGATATTTTTAAATATTGAAATGAAAATCATTTTCATTTAACACTGGCATAGTGTTGCATAATATATTTTCAAAATAACAGAGAAAAATAAATAAGGAAGACAAACCTGTAGGTAAGTAACAAAACAGGTTTACTACACAATGGTACACTTAGCAATTTACCTAATGCTAACTATCTTCAACTCTGCTTAACTCTGCTTATTTACATAAACAAACAATTCCATTCATTTATGTCCTATATGACACATAGGCAGTTACTTCCCTTTACTCAAAATAATTAGTTTCTTGGAAATTTAACTTCCATAAATATTGCTTTAAAATGCACAATGTAAGTAATGAAAGAAAATTGAAAACTGATTTGTCTTTCTAGATGTTACTGGCTGCAAATAGACAAAAATAAAGATAAATTTTAAGGTGTGGTGAAAAGGTGCCACAGAAAAATGAAATACATACCTGCTAAATTGACTGACAAGTTCTTTCTTTCAGACATAAGTTACATAGGAAATTCATTAAACTGTTATTTTCATTAAAAATGATAAGAAAAATTGCTTATCATCCAAAGAAACAAATTAAATATTTAAAAAATTCATATTTTATATTCATAAGAGAATTAAGTTTATAAATATTTCTATTACTTACAGTTAAAAAAAAAAACAAACAAATAAATAATACCCTATTAGCTAAAAGATTTTCATCTGCACTTCATCAATTAGCCCACTATATTTTGGGTTTGAGTAAAGATTAAAGGTTATCAGATTCTACAAACAACCATACCTTCAAACATGCATTACAATTTTTAAAATTAATAACATTTAATGAAAGATGCCTTAAAATGTTGAATTTCTAATAAGCATTAACCAAAGTAAATTCATCTACTATATATCAAATACTTCAATATGAAATGTAAACAACAATTTTCTTTTTTTGTTTATTCTTTTCTTCAGTGAAGATACAATTTCATTAAATAGAAATATCATATTTGCTTTTACAGTTTTGCAGTCTTGATCTATACAGGAGATAACTGGTATTCAGCACTTGAGAAATAATTTAAAACAAATATAACTTTTACCAACATCTGTATATTTCAGATATGAAAAATTTTAATCTGAAATTTTTATAAAGCAGTGATTTTAATTTTCTAGATATTATAACTTCTAAATAGTTTCATAAACTGAAATGATATCAATATGACAGACTCATATTTATTTTCATTGCTTTATTGTTATAATGCTGGTTATAAAAAAATCTTTTTTTTTACAGCTGTCTTAAAATATGTGCTAATTTGGTTTGCATTGAATAGTAAAATAGTGGTATTTTTTAAAGAATATTTTTATTGGCAAACAAAAGATAGCTATTGTAGTTTATTTAAAGAATTTGCAATAAGTTTACTTCAAGCTATGTAAATGTCACTAAAATATATCATGAGTAAAATATATTCAAGATGGGTGCAGAACAGTTAGAGAATGGCTCCATCTGAGGCCCTATAATTTCATTAGATTAGGGGTCCTAAAAGTTCATAATCTAGCCCTGAATGTAAGATGTACTAAATATTTTTAAGATTTATTTTTACAGAGAATCTGGCAAAATAAACTTCCAGGTTTGTTGCTTACCCACAAAGCTCTGTTATCCATTTACAAACCTGTAGACTAGATACATGGATGTATTTTCTGTAGACTAGATACATGGATGTATTTTCACTTGCATTCTTTTGGAAGTTAAATAAAATAAAAAATGGTAATCAGGTACTGATTTCTGATCAGGAAGAGAGAGAAACCAATTATTGATCTTTAGTGCATTTTCTTTTTTCTGTCATTTCAGCTTATATCCCAGCACCCATCTTGTTTGGAAATACAATAGACACAGCTTGTCTCCTGTGGAGGAACCGATGTGGAAACAATGGGTCATGTCTTGTCTATGATATCGTACAATTCAGGAACAAGTATGTTGGTAAGTATAAAATATATATACCATTATTTTTTTAAGTGTTTTTTTTTTTTTTTCATTTATTTAATTATCAAGCTTTAATTAACCATGACTGGTGAGTGGGACATGCAAAAGCACATGCCAGGACACCTGCTGTATAGACAGTTGGAATGTAGCAAAAGACACAGAGGGAAACAATAAAAATAAAACACTACAAAGATTCCCTCAAAACCAACCCTTCAGTAGTGTAAGTTCAAACCAAACCAGCTGGTGAAATATGCCAGAAATCACTTATACTACTAGCATGCCATAGTCATTAGCAGCTAAGTCTCAGAATTTCACTGTTGAAATTGCTTGCTGTAACCATAAGTTCTATGCTAAATGTTTCTTCTCTCGCACTTCTTGCCTGTGGAACTCACTTCTGGCTTCCTACTTTCCTGTCAACTATGATCTTCAAAGTTAATCAACATTTTCTGTCTCCTTGAATCCTGTTCATTTATTGTCCCCTGTGATTCTTTCACTCCTTGCATTGTGGATATTATTGCCTTGATTAAGGTAAAATGATTTAGAAAAAAAAAAAAAAGGACATCATCTTGTCAGCATCAGTTTCAAATAATAACCAAACAACTTGGATTGTTCAACTATGTACTTTTATCCTTATACCATAGATAAACAATTTGATTCAGTTTGCTATAAAATTCCTTTAGAATAATCATGTCAATCACTATTCTTTCCTCATAATTTTTTTTTATGTTTTCACTTAAGAATTGATTGAATACTTTTTTATGGCTTATCAACTTTTTGCAGGTTATTTAAAGTCAGGAAATATTTTTAGATTGTAAGAATTTGGGGAGATGATAATGATTTTTACTGATACAAGTTCTACTAATTAACCCATAGCTGGGAGGAGAAGAGGTGTATTCATAAGTGCAAGGAAACACCAACATAGAGTATCACAGGCAGCAATTATGAACAACCAAATATCAAATAATATGAAAATTTCTATCTACTCCTTCATTCAGAAGGCTCTTGCATAACAGATATAATTAAGTTTATAAATGTTATACTCTGCTACAAATTAGAACTCTTTCTGATTCACATGTTGGCTGGATGTGAGTGCTAAGAAAGTAAAACCCAAAATAAAAAAAAAAGTCATCCTCTGCAAAGGAGCTTTGAGCATTACATCCAGCCCATGAAAGAAATCACCCTAAGATACAATATAAAAGAAGCCAATCACAAATGCAGATTTGCTTTTAAGAGAGATGGACAGAAGCAAACAGAATGTGACCAACAGGCCAGCTGTTGATGCTCAGCAGGCTCTCAATTTCATCACTGTGACTTCAGTCAACTGACCAAACATATACATGCTCACAGAGACATCCCGTTCACATCTTCTGTATCAGCAAACTCGGATTCATAGTGATCATCAAGCTTCATTAATCCACTCCAAGCCTCTCTAAATATCATCACCATGACTATTTGTGACAATATAAAAGAATTTTATATTTATAATTATTTCACCTCACTGGTGATACTCTTGTTTCATTTGTTCTTCCATGTTACCACACACGTGTTTATAATATAAATCTTTCTTAGAGAAAAAACAAATCTAGATTAAAAAAATAAATAAATAAACCTAGAAAATCTTAAATCTTTTGTGAAACAATCTAACATTTAAATAAAGCATGATTCAAGAGTTTGTGATGGCAAAGACAGGATTCAATAAACACATTGTTCAAATTCAGGTTTTCTTATTAGGACCAAAGTCACCATTTAGGCCAATGGTGCCTTTGGACCGAAGAGAACATGAATTCTGTGAGAATTAGCTTTAAATCCTACCCATAAAGCAGATTTTCAGCTTGTATATATAAAACCTTCAAGAAAAGGTTCTTCCAACTTCAGTTCTTTAACAAAAACCCTTATTGTATATTTTGTTATTGTTTAATAGCGAGTTTTGGCTTTTGAGCCTTGCCCACTTTTAAAACATCTGCCCATAACTTGATCAACAAACATGTCAATATTAATGGTTAATAAGATTTATGAGGAACTCAGTTATAACAAATCCTTTTCTGTTTTTGTTGAAAACTTGAAAAAAAAAATGTGATACCACAAAGGTTTATATAAATTGTAAAATCATTTTTCCTCCACAAAGGTGTGCAAGGTAGTGTAAGGATTACCAGCTCAGGAAATAAAATCAACAAACTAAATTTGAATTACAGCCAAAGTTTCTTAAATTCACTTTTTATGAATGCTTATGAAAAAAGCATGAATTAATTTTCCCCTATGCTCTCTCTCTCTCTCCTTTTACTGCTAGCTATCTGGATAAAAATGTCTTGTTACTGACATGTCATGATCATTGATAAAGATAACAGATTAAGATAATAGAGCACATGGGCAAGCTACTCTCCCAAAAACTTTCTTACTGCTCAGGCAGTAGCAAAAAGTACTATGCTCTCCTACTCATTGTCAACCTTGACAAGGGCCCATATTTTCTTTAAAAAGAAAAAAACCAGTTCATAATACTATATTTTTTAATACAAGTTTATTATTAAACCATTTTAAATTCTAACAAATATTACTGCCAATTTTATGGAAGTTCTTCCCCATTTCTATAATGAAAATATTGTTTGGTCTGTGGTCAGATAATTCTACCTTAATTCCAAAGAATAAATCAATAACATTGTAATAATTCTAAGTTAAAAAAAAATTAGACTAGTGTTAACATAATTTAAAAAGAAACAATTACTGTTTAAATTCTTCAACAAAATAATATAATCTAAATAATCTCATCTTTTAAATTGCTCACAATAGAAAAATGTTTAACAATATTACTGTAGTGAGTGTGATCCTCTCCATGTGTCCAACTCTTGTGGCTTTCTACCATGAAAAACTGAATATTATAACTGAAAATTTCATATTTCTCCATTAGTGCCAGTGATTATCAGGTTTACATAAACGCTAGAATTACCCATGTAGAAAAGTGTGGCAACACACTCATTTCTTTACTATTCACCCTTATGCCATACTCAGTAAATATTACTAAGCTCTACTCTGTTCCAATGCAAATATCAAATTATTCCAGTTACCAAGATTCAACTCACAGTAAAGATCAGGTTTTAGGAAATTATTCTTTGCCACTTCTATGGTTTCATCTTGTCAGCATCAGTTTCAAATAATAACCAAACAACTTGGATACAGAACAAAGATTGTTCAACTATGTTTATCTGTGGTATAAGGACAAAAATACAATTTGATTTAGTTCACTATAAAATTCCTTTAAAATAATCATGTCAATCACTATTCTTTCCTCATCATTTTTTTTTAATGTTTACACTTAAGAATTGATTTTATGGTTTATCAACCTTTTACAAGTTATTCAAAGCCAGGAAATATTTTAGAGTGTAAGAATTTTTGGAGATAATTATTTGTACTCATACAAGTTCTACTAATTAATCCATAGCTGAGATGAGAAGTGGTGGATTCATACCTTTCCCAAGGGTATTTGCACATAAGTGAATATTACAAACCTGACTGGAATTGGAATGTGGCTCTCCGATTTCCAATTCTGAGCCATTACATCATATTATATCCATTATATCACCTGCACATCCATTCTTACAGCACTTGGTATTCCCAAGTGGTCACCCATCTAGGTACTGACTAGGCTCAATGCTGTTTAACTTCAGGGATCTTATGCAAATCAGTGTTTCAATGTGCTATAGCTGTAACACTTTCACTAAGAAGAAAATGCCCATTACTCATTAAACCTGATGTTGAGAGTGTATGCAGTCACATGACAATTCTGTTGCAGTTGAGTGATGAAAGTGAATATTTTACCAATTATCATTTATCACAATGCAATTAACTCACTGCATATAAATAGTAAACAGTAGGAAAAAAATGTTAATTCTTAAAGTAAAATATGAAACATTCTGATTCAACACTCATGAAGCCTATATTTTTATCACTTATTGGAAAGATGATGTTGAGCATATATTGATGATCATTTTGTATCTTAATTCAAAATATAAATTTAATAGACAAATCTTTCATACAGACAAGTAATTTCTTACAAATATAAACAGAGTGAATGTAAAACCATAGTGTTCCTTGACACTGGGTCCTTTGGTTTCAAAACTGTCTTAAGCACACAAAAACTAACAGAATTATTAAAGCATTAGCAAAGTTAAGGAACATAGCTATGTAGAATATTAGAGAAGGGAAGGTTCAAATCAAAAATTTCCAATTTACAGATTTTATGATAAACATTGTAGTAAATATTCTGTAAAACTTAAATTACTGATATAAAAAAAATATTTGAAACTCCTGAAATATATAGTATAATCATTCAAAACAGTGAATCTTCTAATATTGAGATTTTTAGGAAACACTTTTTTCAATATTGCAATATTGGAATGCAATAGAAAGATCCAAGTTCAAATTACTCCAAATGCACAGACACAATATATTTTCAAAATATATATATATATAAAAAGAGAGATAAATATATTGCAGCAATACACATAAATCTTGAGATACAATGCAAATATACACATTTTTTATGTGTTATCTAAAACTATTTAAACAATATTACTCAACAAATAAAACACACACACACATATATATATATATATATATATATATATATATATATATATATATATATATATATTATCTTTTCTTTGTTGTGTGTGTATGTAAGATGGTGATAGACTCTTATTAATTTCAACAGTATCATTTCAGTATTATATTTAATCTTGTAAGATACTAATGCAGTCATGGGTTTGCATACCAGTCCACTCTCTAGGTAGCTGATGGTATTATCAGACAATGTAACTGAGGTGCTTATTCTCGTATTTTTTTTCTTTTGGTGATAGATACTCCTCCATTCAATGTGATTCTTGAAAGTTTCAAGATATTTCAATAGGGACATTGATGGTTTCAAGCTTGTGAAGCACAGACTAGACCTACTAACATTATGTACATTGTAACAAAGCTGTCTGTGAGTACTTTAAGTATTCTGCCATCACTTATGCTTATAACATGACCAGCCTGTCTAAATTGTGATCACATAAAACATGATTCAATACTACTGATGGTAAGAAAATCAGAATTGGAGATTTCATCCTGCAAGGTGTATCCAGAGATCAAGGAGAGCATTTGTAAAATAAATCAAGTTGATTAATGTGGGTTCAAATACAAAGTTCACGATTCTAATATGTACAGGTAAAAACAATAGAAGGATAAGCACTGATCTTGATTTGAAGCAATATTCAACTTCCATTCCAAGAGACTCAATTAGCTTGGAAATTTAGTCAATAAATTCAGGATGCATATCACCATCTACAGCAGGGGTGGCCAACCTTTTGATTTCATGCGCCACACAAATATTCACTTCGTTTGAGTATGTGTTGTAATATGGACATATTTTAAAGTTATAATAAAATCTATTTATTTGAAAAATATATGCTTATGACCAGGGGCGTATCCTTTTAGCACTTTCACAAAGGACGTGCAATAAATATAAAATCACTGAAATGAATGAATAGAAGTGGCTTAGTTTCTTTTCATCAAAAGGATGCAATGCGCCACTTGTAAGCATCCAATGCGCCACAGGTTGGCCATCCTTGATCTACAGATTACTAACTGTAGTTTCATCTACCTGCAGTTGGCCCAATTTTTAATGATGATAATCAGTGGCATAGGTAGGGGTTGAGGTCTGCCCCGGGCAGCACTTTTGGTCTGTGATGAGTTTTCAGAAAAGAAAAAAAGTAATAGCATAACTTCAATAATTTTTGCAAACAAAGCAAAGACGGAAGAAAATAGGATTCAAATTTAAGACAATTTGTCTTTGCTATGGCTGGCTTTGAGCCAGCCATCCAGTAAAAAAAAAAAAAAATTGTCTCCTAAACTAACTGTCAGCTGGTGGAGATAAAACCCACTTACAAGACATGAGCAAAAGGTGTGAAAAAAAAAAATCGAACATTTTTAAATGGCTTGATGTGGGCTTGGATTAAATGAATTTTGTGAATCCACAGTTTTTTCACACCGTATGTGAAAAGTCCAGACTTTTGTGTCAGTTCTTTGATTTTGATTTTCCACGTCTGAACTGTTAGTGAAAAAAAAATTAAATAATTAGGAGAACCAATTGTTTTTTGGGTTTTTTTTTTAAAATCTTATAGGACTAACTTTAATACAGATATAAAATTGTTACTTTTCATAAATTATAAAATAAATAGATAAATAAATTGAAATAATTCCAATGCTTTAAGGATATCACATGCATTCCAATTTTTTCCGGAAATAGTGAATAGAAATTTAAAAGAAAATTGAAAATTAATATATATTTTTTAAGTTCGGAAACTTTATTTAAAGTCCAAAAATGGGCATTTTTTTTTCAATTTTTCAATTTACAAGTTTTCACAGTAGTAAAACAATACAATGTTTTATTTTTGTTTAGAAAGTTGAAGTTTTATTAAGCAAAATAGACTTAGAATTAAAAGACATTGCATTTTTTTTTACATTGTTAAAAGAAAAATGAACCGTATTTCTGTTAACATGGCATTTAATTTATGACTCCTCACTTGTTAGAATTGAAATAAATATTAAAAAGTTTCCCAATCTAGAAAAAAAAGAGATAATATCTTTGTTTTTTGTTTTTTTTTTAGATATCCCCAGTTTTGTTTTTAAAAATAAATAAACAAACACAATTGTACTTTTATTTCATAATTTATCAGTAAGGAGTTATACCACATCAACAGAAACACAGGAAAAAAACCTGGCATCACAGGCATTAGATTCTGAGAAATGGAAAAATATTAAAAAATCGATGGGTGTACAAATAATTTCATCATTGATATATATATATATATATATATATATATATATATATATATATATATATATAGATATTATAAATTAATTGATTTAAAATATTTTTTTTCCCGTTACACAGTTCTAACCATGTTTCAAAAATCCATATTTTAAATCAATTAATTTATAATATTAATGTTCTGTAAATTTACATTAAGCACTATTTTGTAAAAATAAAAATATCTATAAGAACACCGGATTATATATCTTACTGTTCTTTCTTTTTATTTAAATACATATACATATATATATATATATATATATATATAAACTTTAAGGGGTTAATGTGCATTTTAATATTGTATTCCTTGTGGAGATGAGTAGCAAAAACACTAGCTACACCACTAATGATGATGATAGTATCTTGAAAGGGAAATCTCAAATTAATAAAAAAAAAAAATAATTTTTTTTGTTCATTGATTACTAAGATTTTTATGCAATTCATTTCACAATTGTATATATATATATATATATATATATATATATATATATTTATAATTGTATATATATATATATATATATATATATATATATATAGAGAGAGAGAGAGAGAGTTTCCATCCCAATGTTGTCAAATGGGCTAAAATTGTAGAGTAAAAGATTTTGGACATACCAAAATAGTTCAATATTATCCACAAATTTCACCATTTTGGGCTAAACTGTTTACTAGATTCTACAATATATTAAAAATTGAGATGTAGTAAAATAACTGTATTTTCATGTATTCTTGTAAATCTTGAAATATGTGTACAGTAATGCCACTAAAACACAGGGGGTTACAGGGTGTGGAAGAATTAGGAACAGAAACAATAATGATGAGAGATGAGAGCAATCAGGAGGGCAGTAGATAGCAATTGACATTGCATTTAAATTTTTGGAGATTAAAGTTGGCAGGAAAACATGGAGCCGGAAGAGAGTTCCACAAGCGAGAAGTGCAAGAGAAGAAATTGTTAGCATAGAACATCTAACCAGCTCAACTGTAAATTGGTGAAATCTCAACACCAGTCTAATGCTGCACTTAAATTCAAAAACTTGTGTACCATAGTGAAGAGCCAATCTGAACAATAACCACGGAAGTATTTATAGAAAAGATAGAGAGGCAACCTTATGATGGTGGGAAACTGACTGGAGCAGAGCCACCAAATGAGGACAAATGATATTGCTAATTTTTCTTTTGATCTTATCAAGGAGCTCAAGATTAATAGAAGGCCCACTGTACCATATGTGGCAGCCATATTCTAAACATGGACAAATGGTAGACTTATAGATATGTAAGATAGATTCTGGAGAGAAAAATTGTCTCACCCAAGAGCTGACTTAGCAATGGATTCATTATAATCTTTCCACTTCATATCAGCTGAGAATGTGAGCCCAAGAAGGTGAAATGAATCACTTTCCTGGAGTTTAATTATTTATTCATTAATTACCCAGTTGGCTGGATCCATGAATATACCAACTGCACCTCTATAGAGGGGTAAACAAACTCACTCACCCATCAAATCGGGCCAGCAGTCTCTGACTTTGGTAAACCATCATTTATGTGAACTGAAACACTTTACATTGGCTTCTACTCAGACTAGATGAGCAGTCAGAGGTAACCAATCTGATCAATCATCTAATGAAAACAGGCCCTAATACTTGTATACAAAAATATATATATATATATATATATATATATATATATATATATATATATATAGAGAGAGAGAGAGAGAGAGAGTGTGTTTGTGTGTGTATTTAGGCAGCAATTTTTCATTAAATAATAGAGACTAGTTTTGTCTATTTATTTTAAGTAAGTTCCTTTCATATTGTCTGATAAGCTTAATAACATTATCATTGAAAGACGAAAGGAAATCACCATATTGATACATGTTTTAATCCTATGTAAGCTTTCGGCATGACAATTTCAATATATCAAACAATACACAGACAAAACAATAATGATAGTCTGTTTTTGTTGCATGAAGAATTTCAAACCAATGATAAACTCGTTTATATGTAACAATATAAAGACCAGTGGCAATATTCCCAGTCTGGGGGGGGGTAAAAAACAGTTCCATAGGCACAAATACAAAATCCTTCAGACTGTCATCTAATTGCCCTTGAACAGGTGATTAATAATGAACTTAACTGATTCCTTGAATTTAGCAACATAATTACAAACTTTCAGTCCATGTTTAGAAAGAACAGACAGACAATAGACCAGCTGGTTCCCCTGGAATCTCCTATTAGAAAAGCGTTTATTAAAAAGGAACACTTAACAGTTCATTCATACAGTATAGTAACACAGAATCGGACAAGATCTAAAACCAAATGTGTCTCAAAGGAGGACTGCCAATCTTAATAGATTTTTTAATGTGCCTTTCAAAACTTCTACCTTCATTATGAAATAAATCAACCTTTATTTTGGTCATTCCAACTCAGTACAAGGCTGATTTGAACTCAACCATGATAATCCTGTTTAAATGATGAAGTAAGTACAAACTTTACTTTTGTCATTCCAACCCAACATAAGGCTGGCTTGAGCTGGACCATTACAACAATGCTAATCCTTACTTATTCTAACTTACTTCTGGACCAGAAAAAGAAAATGGACATACCAAGAGATACTGAAAACTTTCCCTACAGTTTCCACTATAAAAAAATAAACAGTCTGTAGTATAAACCCACATTTTTGTATGCTTCTTTAATTGATTAACTTTAAATTCCATAAAACCAATGACGCAAATATTTGGCAGGGAAAAATATCTTTTTGGTATTAAATGACTGATAGAGTTGATATGCTGTTAAAACAAGACAATTATTCATTAATTCTATAGAAATGTCCTTAAAGAATGGTAATTTTCTAAACATAGCTGAAGGTGTGGAGCACCCAGTGAGGATCAAATACCATTCTTTAAAGAATGGTATTTCCATTTTATTTTGAGAAACATCTCAGATTTCAATTGATATTATTGCAAAACATTCTCAGATATTCTGAATAACATTTTTTTTTAGTTTAATGTATTGTCAAAATGCACTTGGCCAATGAATAAAAGAAATCAAAATATATTCAAATTTTTTTCCTTTTATTTTTTTAAAGCATAAAGAAAGAAAAAAAAAAGACAATATCATGTATTGGAATGCATTCATTTTATAAATTACAGTAACATTTATTTGCTGTATTTGTTCTATTTGAAAGGTATTTCTGCTGGCCTGAAAGTACTGGGTACCCTTTTATTCTTCATTGTGTGGTTATTGATACGAAGGAAAATTCGACATGACACAAAAGTATCAATGACAGTAAGTATTATCAGATTGAATCAGAATAAAGTTCTGCTTTTTTTTTCTTCACTTGCTTATTCTCATCTTGACAATAGTGAAAATTATTTTACTGATTAGAATTATCAAGGAAATTTGATCAAAAAATTTTTTTTTTTTTTACATGGATGTTCTTGAGAATTCACAACAAAAATAAACACTATTTAAATATTTATTGGATTGTTTATTTATACTATTATATTATTTATTGGAATGGTTGGCAAAACATCAGCTAATTGCCAATAAACTGTATTAAATGGTAAATAAGGATTTCCTTATGGTTGGTTCACATATTTTAATAATAAATTATTTTATAAACATTTAAAATTTAAACATTTAAAAAATTATTTTCATATTTATTTCTTTATAAAGTGGTAAATAATAAATATTACATTGCATTAGTTCTAACTGTATTAGTTTTTAGAATGTTTTAAAGATAAAATTATTCTTGTAAATAAACAATCTAATAAATAGTATTTAATATTTTTGTTGTAAATTCTCAAGCATGAAAAAATATGTATAAATTCACTTTCGTCATGTGTTTAGGTTTTATTTCAATTCTAATCATTGCTTTTGAAAACAATAAACATTGCCAAAGAGTGAAAGTAGTTAAAAAAGCAGTGTCATGAGGAGGAGCATCCTTTTCATACTAGGTCTTATTGCAGGCATATTTATCCATGTTTGCCTTCTTTCTTTTTTTTTTATGATATAAAGTTATGCTTTATAATGAATGGAAACCTCTCCAATTTTTAAATCTTTTACTTAAAAGTTATCAACTGGTTACTTAAAAGACCCTGTCCAATGTGGTCAAAATAAGTGACTTTCTCCATACAATAGGAATTAATATATATAAAATATATGGCAGGAATAATTGGGGAATATAGTCTTTTTTATGTTTGCTTTGATATTTATCATCTGGTTTATTGAACCAATGTTAAAGGAATCAAATTGCCACAAAGTTTAAAAAAAATTATAACATATGCTTAGAGTGTTTTTTTCATAACCCTTCAACTCTTATTTTTTATGAAGTAATTTTATCCATCCTGTCAGGTTAACTCCTCCTAATTTTCAAAACTACTACTCCACGACTGCGATATTTTTCCTCACTCAATCCTTACCTTATCTGCTTATTTGTCAACATGTAAACCTCTCACAGAGAATGCTCTTTCCTTTGGGAACCACATGAACAATACACACACACACACACATTCACTCACTACACATACTTTGAACCAAAAAGTTTTTCATATTCATTTGTTACACACATTGTCTTTGTCACTTGTAACCTTTCTTGTTATTACATATATATATATATATATATATATATATATATATATATATATATATATATTGGTCCTTGAAGTTTCTTTACATTTGTTTAACTAACTCACATCCAGAGTCTGCCATTTTTTTTGTGGGTATTTTCAGGAGACAGCGTGTTATTCCAAATTTCAAACACCAACATTATTAATGCCTGAAACAAGTTGGGAAACGCATAACCACCCGCAACAATCCCAACTTTAATCACTGTTAATGTTTTTTATATTTTCTTTTGCTACAGGTGCGTGATTATGTGGATTCGGTTTGTTCCATCAATAAATTAGGCAAGGATTCAGAAAACCCACCCAACCCTGGCAATGTGGTGCCTAAAGAAGAAGAAAAACTCCAAGAAACTGTTGCCAACATGACAGCAACTATCACAGAATCAACCAAATTAACATCAAATACCAATCCCAAAAAGCAAACAGAATATGAACAAAAATCCAGCGGAGATCCGTCACAAAATGCAGAATCACATGAATCCCATTTATGATGAAAACTTTCAACATAAAGAACAAGTTTGATTTTTGGCAGGATGGGGTTCAAGAAGAGAAAAATATAGGATGGACAAACAATAAACCAATCAGAAGCTGAAGAGTTTGGGATGGGGGTGTTGTCCCATCTAAACTGATTGGTCTATCTGCCATTAAGAGTTGCATTGAAAAACAGAAATATCATTTTTGTTATTTTCTCTTTGGAAAAAAAAACAAAAAAAGAAATGTCTTTGATTATAACATAATACCTAAGAAAGTGTAAAGCAAACAACCAGTATGAAAATAGTTGAACAGAATCATAAACAAAATATTTACTTGGTTGTAACATTCAAAAAAAACCAAAAAAAAACAAAGAATGATATCCAATAATATTAACCAGTACAATGTGTGTGTGTGTGTATATCAATAACCATAGATTGACAGCTAATTATATCCTTAGGTGCTTCTTGTCCTACCAGGTTAAGAGACCAGCATTCAAATTACTATTTATCATTAAATGTACAGTGGTTCTGATCCGTCACAATACCACATTTGTTTGGTGGTAGAATAATGAGTTATTGAAAGAAATTTCCTGGATGTATTCAGTCATTTTAATCCATCACCAAGAAAATAATTGTACACAAACACACATTTTATATATATAAAAAAATGTGTGCATGTTTATTAAATTGCCAAATTATAAAAAAGAAAAAGAGGGGGGTGAATAAATGTCTATGTATGTATGTTTATATGAACTTGTAACAGACTTTCAACCATAAACCGACCATCATATTTCCATAATAAAGTGGGTTTGAAGTGGGGGAGGGGGGATATCTTAACTGAAATTAATGTTTTTTAATAATCCAGCACAAAAAATATTCAAATATTAGTTTGATTTTTTTTTTTCCAAACTATTTTAAAGCCTTGAGTAAAATTTGCACAATAACCATTTATTAATTAACAAATAAAACACATCAAAAGATAATAATTATTCTTATTGTCTTTGTTAGTATTATTTGAAAGTTGAACAATATAAAACTGCATTATTTTTTATCTCAAAATATTCATATTTTGAATCCTTATTCATTCTTCGTTGAATCAACATGGCAGATAATATCACATATTGTACAATAATTCTTATTGGGGGAAAAAAAATTTTAATCACATAATCACTAGTTTTGGGTCAGTCCTTAATTACAAATTTACATCAATATTATTGATTATATAGAGTGAACTTTAGTGATAACATTACTACACTTTTTTTATCTACATATTCTACTTTAGATTCATATCCGAAAATTCCCTAGTATAATCAGTAGCTTTTCATAATATTATAATAAAAGAATTTAAAGTATTTGTATTGGTCAATCCAGTAGAAAAGGTGTTTTAAAAACCCTAATTCATACCTTGTCAGTGTTTAGTGAATTTCTATATAACTGAACATATCAATTCAAAGTTTTCACCCAAAGTCCTTCTCTTGTGGTTTGAAGGTGTGATTCTAATTTATCCTTGCACTTCCTAAACTGACCTAAATATATGTGGAGGTCCTTAATTTACTTTGACAATTTAGATTCAGAACTAAAATTTCAGACAAAAATTATGTAGTCTATATTTCTTGTTGTCAACCATTCATTTCCAAGATGTTGTGAGGAATTATACCACTTTCTTTTTAAAAACATCTCTGGGTTT